CATTCATGAGTAACCTAAGCTCTTCTCTTCTAGGTGATGTTGAACAATCTCTTGGCCAAGTTGACGACTGTCGCGTTTTCCAAAATGTTGTTGATGTACTGAAAAAGTAAGTATAATGAAAATTAATCGTTGAAATCGTTGTTAGTAATTGAACCTTTCGACGAAGGTATTCTTTAATGAGATAAACAAATTCTTTATTTTACTCCAATTATTATGTTTCTAAAGTTCATAAAATTTGAAGATAAGAAAGCTTAAATAACTCATTCTCTTTAAAATTCGAATTCATCCTGGCTATTGCCAGATAACAATATTCTTATGGCTATGGGTAACCCCTTGTCCCCCTACCTGGCAAACCTGTTCATGAGCAGATTCGAAATGGAAACCAAAGAAAAGTCCTAGGATATGGCTAAGGTATGTGAATGATATTTTTGCGATATTTCATAACAAAATATCGAATATTGAGGACTTTATTTTCTTTATTTTATTCATTAGATTTACCTGACTATTACATAAGGACACTATTGAAAATTAATTTAAGACAAGTAGATAAGGCAAATTGTAAAATTAATTTAAGACACTCAAGACCCAGGTACCTAGAACAGGTATCTATGTTATAAATAAGGATAAGTATGATTAGTTTGATCTTCCTCTTGAAGATGATCACTTGGTGATCGAAACGCGTGTCGAGGTGTTAAAATAACGGTTTTGTGTTGGGAAAAAAACTACATTAATATTATTCTTACCGCTTTAATTTGTGCTTCTACAGAGGGTTTGATTTCGGGCCACAAAATATCTAATGCTTCAGGAGCCAATCTCGATATTGCCTGATTGAAAAGACTCCCCACTTCTGGATCATTCATCAAATTCTCGAAATTATTCTGAAAACAAACAATATTGAGAAAACTGTTTCAACAATCTGGAGGTCATTACCTCAAGTTTCTTCAGTTTGACGCTCAAGTTGATTTTTTCCACTCTCAGTCGCGCTGGAAGGTTGAACTTCAGTATTGTCGATGTACCAATTTTCAAATCAATCAAATTGATCCTAAAAAGTGAAATTAATTCAATTCGGTTTTGGGAATTTACATTGGTGAGAACTGGAAAATAATTCTCAAATTACCAATCAATAGTTTACAGCGAACACTTATTCAATTGAATCGAAATAAGCGCCAGTTCATTCAGTGCCCTTTGGCCAACGAAACACAAGTCGATTATTTTGTCAGAACAAAACTTGTGAGCTCGATATTCGATGAAGTAGACGATGGCCGTTTTTGCCTGGTCCTGATTGGCGAAGGTTCTACCGGTGAGAAAGTTATCGAAGCGCTTAATAAGATAGTAGTCGGTTGGCGAAAGGTCTGGGAAGTATGGTGGCTGAGGCAGAACTTCGAGGCTCAACTCGCTTAATTTTCTTGCGGTAATTTGTGAAACGTACGGACATGCGTTGTCGTGAAGCAGGACCGGACTTCTTCTGTTGAAGCAATACAGTGTCGATTTGTAATCAGACGTTCGGACATTAACCCACAAAACTGCATTTTTCATTTGTCATGAAATATCTTCATTTCATAGGGGTGAATTCTGTCTTCTGAGGTACTTCTTGACGCTGGTTGTCGAGATATCATTCTCAATAGCCCTCGCGATCATAAAGTACACTATTATTCGGTTGGTAAATAATGAAAACAATAATGAACTATGTTCTATGATTCAAAAAATATAGCCGATGAAGCATTCTTACCTAAATGGTCCATTGCCGTGTATTTTGAAAGTTTGTCCAACTAGCCCGTCAATTTTGTATGTTCCATTAACCTTGATGTAGGGGAATGTTAAATTTAGGTCCAACCTGAACCGTAAATTTCCCAGCTCAGATAATCTTTCCTTGTCAATAACAAATTTTGAGATGTGTCGGACAGTGACGTCCTCAGCGTTTCCTTTTGCTCTGTAATAAGAAAATGGGGCTATAGTGATACCATGAGAAAGGGAGTGTCTACAAGTATAATCGTAATCATAATACAGAAATCTATAAAGGCAATCGAACATATGTATGTGGTGATCAAGATTGTCAGTCCGAACTTCCTTTAAATTTGATTTTCAATCTTTTCTTGAAATTCTGTAGACTGAACTTATGTCAGAAGAGTTTTGTGGGTAACTGTGAGGAGGTGTAGTTTTCTCATATTCTGCATTGAAAGCCAACCTGATTCTTTCATTTTGTGGCTAATGTGGTCAAATATGCGACATCCGTATGAGTACTTTATGCAAGCATTTTGTATTCTCTGCAGATGAATGGAATCGCATAGGCGTAAAGAAGGTCCATAAACACTGTCACATAAATTCAGCTTACATAAGTTGCTGACATGTCCCAAAAATCTCAGCTCACTGTCTAGATACAAACCTAGATTCCGGCACTCCTTGACCTGAGGGAGGTAGTCATTTTCAATTTTAATTCTTATCTGTCCAGAGGCTGAATTTCTGCATGACGTACGACTCAAAATCATGAAAGAAGATTTTTTCCCATTGAGTTTCAGATTGTGTGCCGTAGATATGTCCAACAATGACTGATAATCTTGATTTATTGATATTTCTGAGATAGTTATGGAAGTCAAGTTGAAAGTGGAGTATATTTGTGTGTCATCGGCGTAATGGTGTGTCTCGACTATTCTGTGTGTATTCATGGAAATCCGATATATAAATACTGAATAGCAAGGGACCTAAGATTGAACCCTGTGGTACTCCATATGCAACATTAAATGCTTCAGACCTATCGTTGTCTATCACTACCCTTTGTGTGCGATTAGTTAGGACATCTCATATGAATTCAACTGAATCAGATGAGAACCCAAAAAATTGAAGCTTTGTACAAAGAATGTGATGATCTAAGTTATCAAAAGCTTTACTATAGTCAAGAAGGACCAAACAGGTAAGGTTTCCTTCATCACTAGATTTCATTATACTCATCAAACGTGACGGTCCGATCCAAAAAAGGATCGTTTTGGTTACGCAAAAGCAAAGAAGAGCAAACTCCGAAACGTGATAATTTCTGTCAATCGTTCAAATCGTGGGGCACCCACTTTTNTGAAATGGAAATCATTTCATTTTAATCACATTATGTTCATTTTATTTTGAATTAAAACCGGAACTAAATAATAAAAATAACAAATCCTACTGCTGTTGCATTCATACTAATATTAGTCGTTGTTGCCTCGTGAATATCCCAAATGAAAAATCGCTTTCTATCACTCTACAGCTTTCACTCTAAACATCAATTGTGAATTTCAAGACTATTTAAAAACTTACGCAGCGGCCTCATGGTTGACATCAAATTCGATTTTATTAATATGAAGTGGATCTAAAACAGGAATACTGAGTTCCGGAATACCTTTGATCAGTTGCTTTCTGAACAACTCCAATAAAGCCCTCAGTCGATCTTCGATTGTTGCAAAAGTATTTATTATACGGTCTATAGCTTGCCCGAACAGGTTGACACCAGCACGGATTATATCTGAAATAAATAATTACATGATTTAACAGGAGTATCAAAATAAACAAATTACGTAAAAAATTCATATTAGTTCGATCAAATATCAAGGTTTTACTCACTGTTCTCTTCGAGTATCGTAGCGTAGTGCATCAGGAATTCTTGCCACAAGGTCCTACAGTCAATAGGAAGTATTATCTGGAAATTATGCGCCGCTTGTGAGAAACAATACGAAGACAACGTATGGTATTGTGGAAAAACAATTGAATCATCTAAAGCAGGGGTTGGCAAGTAGTTTTAGGTGGGGTCCGGTAACTGTGGGAAAATTTTGACGAGGTCCAGAAAAATACAACTGAAAAAATTAAGTGTTACCTATGTATCATTTTGGTTTCAAAGCAAATTCTGAATTATAAAACACAAGACCTAAAATTAATGTGAGAAATTACAACGACGGTCTCGAGCCAGTTTTTATAGTTTGGTTCTCGATAGGAACGGCAAATTCGAAGTATGTCTTCTAGGTGAACGTCCGTTAATCTCGAACGATATTTGTTTCTCAAAACGTTATTCTTTGAGAAAGATGTTTCACGTACATATGTCGAGCCAAACATAGTGGCCAAATTTATAGCTAGTTTCTTGCAATTTTCATATTTTTCTGGAACATGTTTGGTCCAAACTTCTTCAGTGGATACCGTTTTATATATTTGCAAAGACACATCTTCTTGCAAATCAATTATCTCTATTTGAAGTGATGCCACATCTGTCTGCTGATACATCAACTTCAAATGGCGATTTAAGAAACGGAGATAGTTTGCCTATCTCTGCAAAGTCTTGGAATCTTGTAGCAAATTCGTTCCTAAGATCGGCCAGAAATTTTACAAACACTGCAATGTCTTCTTCAGAGTTCTTTTTATATTAAAGAATTGCCGGAATGTGAAAAAATTCTTGTCTTGCAATATCTTTTTCAAAGATATCCAGCTTGCGACGAAAAGCAGACACTTTTTGTATCAGATCACATATTAATTTTCCATTTCCTTGTGATTCTGTGTTGAGCGCATTTGAATATTTCAAAATATCTTTTAAAAAAACCACGACCAGCATATTACGCTTGTTTGTGCTTTCTGGCTCCCTCCTCATCTAAGTTTTGCAAGAAGGATGTTACTTCTCCTTTTATCAGCCAGAAACTTTCAATAACTCGACGTTTACTTAGCCAACGAACATTTTGTCGTGGTGCAGTTAAGTCAGATTACGCTATCAGAAAGAAACTCCTTGAAATGTCGGTGCTGAAGAGCAGAATGAGATCTCATAAAATTAATCAATATGACCAAGCATTCATTCATTTGTTAGAAAAATAATTCAAGGCATATTGGTTGTTTTTTTCATTTCCATTCTTAATGAAAATGTTATCGTTTGTATTCCAGAGATTGCAAGGACAGGTTAGAAGTGCCAAGATCGACTGCGAAGCTGAACGTGTCTTCTGCGGTCATCTAGGAATAACAGGTTATCCAGCAGTTCGTTTATATTTTTCTCCTACAGATTTTTATAAAATAGATAGTCGTGAGTCCGCTCAGATTATAAAAAGGGTCAAGACCCTCGTTCACGAAAATGACCAGAAATATAAGCACGATGAATCATATGTTTAATGAAAAAATTTCATATCAAAATCAACGCTGTTTCTTTATGAACATGAAACACGATGGTATAAGAGTTGTCTTGAAAAATTTGTCCTGAAGTCTGTCGAGTTTTACCGCGTATTTTGTTGATGATGCATGTGTATTCTTCAAAATTGAAATGTTTCCTAGAGTCTGTATTTTCGATCTAGTGAAATGCTAGACTTGCGGTCTAGCATAATTTTTCAATTGTTCGTTTCATTTCATAATGTTTTGTTCAACCGTTAACTGGAATGTATATCGAAGATGCTATATCTATATCTGTTACTTAATAGGAATTTCCAGAAAAATCAGATGGGTTTATACAACATGCATAACAACAAAATTTTTGATATTTTCAATGTCATATTTCCACGATTTCCTCATATCACGTCATCATCGTTAATTGTACATCATAAGGATTATACAGAGCGTCGGGAACAAAACGCCTTGCGAATATTTTTTTCATCCGTCAATAAATCAGTTCGCCTACAAAAATACCAACTGAAATTATTTAGTATATGATTATTCCAACGGGTATACATTTGGATTATTTCAAAAGTTTTGTCCGTTTTTATGACACTACTTTTAANCAAAATTGCTTAAATATTAATATTTTTTGAGTTATTAACGAAAAACTAAATACCATTTTTTTAAATATTATTTTGTTAATAACAATTGCAATTTTGTACCTGCAGCAAAATCCTTCAAAAACATTTTTCTAGAGGTGATTCCGAATCGAATGAGCTCATATTTTTAGGATCTTTTTACCTATTTTTCATGTTTTTGAACTTGTTGACTATACGTTGGATTGGCTATCTTTTCCTAGTATACTAGTAATTTAGACACATATGTTTAATGAAAAAATTTCATATCAAAATCAACGCTGTTTCTTTATGAACATGAAACACGATGGTATAAGAGTTGTCTTGAAAAATTTGTCCTGAAGTCTGTCGAGTTTTACCGCGTATTTTGTTGATGATGCATGTGTATTCTTCAAAATTGAAATGTTTCCTAGAGTCTGTATTTTCGATCTAGTGAAATGCTAGACTTGCAGTCTAGCATAATTTTTCAATTGTTCGTTTCATTTCATAATGTTTTGTTCAACCGTTAACTGGAATGTATATCGAAGATGCTATATCTATATCTGTTACTTAATAGGAATTTCCAGAAATATCAGATGGGTTTATACAACATGCATAACAACAAAATTTTTGATATTTTCAATGTCATATTCCCACGATTTCCTCATATCACGTCATCTTCGTTAATTGTACACCATAAGGAGTATACAGAGTGTCGGGAACAAAACGCCTTGCGAATATTTTTTTCATCCGTCAATAAATCAGTTCGCCTACAAAAATACCAACTGAAATTATTTAGTATATGATTATTCCAACGGGTATACATTTGGATTATTTCAAAAGTTTTGTCCGTTTTTATGACACTACTTTTAACTTTAATATCACAGTGATTACTTATTCAATTTGATTCAGTGCACATTTGCCAATGCAACACAAGTCGATACAAATTTGAGTGCTCGGGATGCGTGATCATGTTTTGATCACGCATCCACCGTTATTTGGGTTGCTTTGTTTGTTGAATGGACAGAGTTTAGGTGGTGATTTTGTTTTCAATTTCAATGGTGCTGGTACAATCACATTCATAATTTCATCGAATAAAAATATTTACTATTAACATCCTTCTTCAACTAGGTAGAAGGTGAATCATATTTATTTTCAATGCTGAAATCTACATACGGCTACTAGCTACATCACCAAAGAATTCCTAAACTATCTACTCACCAAACGTTGTGTTGGTAATCCTATTTAGAAATGTACTGACTCTCGGTTCCTGGATTTTTACATTCAGCTGACTGTCAACCAGGAAGAAAGCCGCAAACAGGCACAACCAAACTGATAATTTTCAAAATTTAAATCATGAATAGAAACTATGAAATTCAGTTGAAAAATGGATGAACGATATTTAATTTCTGTGAAAAATTTTCAATTATTTCGTCTTCAAAAATTATAATCTCATTTTGAATCTCAAATTACAATGTCTAGGCATTTTCAAAAAGTAACATAGTGTATGTACTGTTTTCTAAAGCCATCAATAATATGTTCCTAAAATTCGTTTACCTGATATTTATTTTGATTATATTCATTATAGTTAGTTTATGTAAATTTAAATGTTCAAAAATCCTTGAAATTTTATTGAAAATATTCCATTTTCCAGTCAAAACAGTTAATAACGTCATATCTGCCAAACACTGAAATAATTCTGCAACCATCTCCAACAAACGAAAGAAAAAATCAGAGCTAGATTTTCTAGCTAGATACATTTCAAAGTTATCATCATAACCTAACTAAATGCCCACATAAACCCTAACAAAATATTTCTAAAGAGTTGTACAATGGATCATATTACTACTATTGTTGTAGAATCACTCCCCTGCAGCAATATCCATAGATATAGTAATATATTTTGCTTGGCCCTAAAATAATGACAGTTGAAGTATAGTATATACAAAGTCAATATCGAACGGCATAAAACTAAATAGTTACCGAACGTCGGCAGTTTCTTTGTATGGCATTGGTAGCTCTAGGAAGTGGTTGAGTATAAACTTTATTTATTTTTTAATATTTGACATATCCGACATAGTACTATACCGCTTAGTTGATTTTAGAAGCGCTTTTACGTTGCAGCGCACTGCTTTCCGATTTTTCAACCTGAATGCAGCCATTTAATGGAGATGGTTTTCAAATTATTTCAATATTAAACAGATGTGACATCCTCAACAACATTTCACAGAAAAAACATACAAACTCAAATAATTTCAAGCCAAAATCGGATTAGGTATAGTCCATCTCATTTCAAGGTCATTGCAGATTTTAAATGTTGAATTTTTGTTTTGTCTGTCAACATATTTTATTCGTCTGTTGACATTTTTTTTGCAGTAGCATAACCATCATAGTTAGCCTGTAGGATATAGGGCAAACAATAATCCATTTTCCATTCAAAAACTGTCATCTGTTAACATAATTATTGATTAATATATATGTTGAAATAAGCTATTATTAAAATTTGAAACCAGTGATATTTTTGCATTAAAATGCCTAGTTATGAAATACATTGTCTTAGCATAAATAACAAATTGAGCGTCATATCGAGAGCTGAATTCACCCGTTCTTTTTCAAATATCGATCAAAACTTAATAACCATACCTCACAAAAACGTGAATTTATTCATTCAAGAGTTGCTCATGAAGACCGTTGGAAAGTGGAATTCACTTCTTTGATATGATAGTGAGCTTTAATAATTTTATTGTGAGAGGACCTCGCACAATCCTTATGGAAAACGGCTTTTGGTGAATTCTGCTGATTTTTTTGGTATGATGAACTTTTCAATGTACTGATTAAAAGTTTCCACGGGCACAACAAAAAATAATGGCTTTATACGTTACCCTGTATGGTCTGCAATTATTAGCAAACGGTGCTGTAAAGACACAAGACCCATGAAAGAATTGCTAAGGCGCATGAGGGGCATGAAGTTGCAAAATAATACGACCTATTCCTCCCGTTTTACTACCAAATTCCTCATTTTGCCGACTTTCAGCGATTTTTTCTCAAAAACTGTCCATTATTTTTCGTTGTGCCCGCGGAGACTTTTGATCAGGACATTGAAAAGTTCATCATACCAAAAAATCAGCAGAATTCACATTTTCCATAAGGTTTGTGTGTGGTCCTTTAAAGCATTGATATCATTAACTCAAAATATGAGCTCTTGAATATTGGCTTTCTATGTCAAATATTTCTGCTCATAAAAAAAATTTCGAAGAGCTCTAGTACTCGCATTTCATGTAACTGCCTTATTNTTTTGCCTGAAATTCCTTTCCTGGTTATTTCTTTTGTGGCGATTGAGATACCAGCCAGTTCTGTTTGAACCACGCTGGTATTTTTTCCTATTCCCCACTTAATCCTTAGGCTTAGTTATCTGGAGTACATTCCACATCCTGAGCCTTCTTTGATTTTTGAGCTGCCTGTATATATGCATAGTTTTCGATGTGCAGCCACTTATTTTTTTGCCATTTCCTCTACTCTCGAGAAAAATCATGTGGAAAAATTTCTCATATCGGCAAAATTTCATTATTTATACGAAAAATCTAAAGTAATGGAACTTTGACCTTGAAGTTGAAAGTCATGTCAAATTTACAAATGCTAATTCAATGGACTTTGTATCCCTCATGGTTTCTAATTTTCCCATACTGAATAGACATTATAATAGGCATGTTGAAACATTCAAATGTCATTAAAAGATATGTTTTTCCAAACTTTCTACAAAATCTCTTTTTATTGAAATCCATAAGAACTATCGCTAGAGAACTTCAACTGATACTGGTAATGTAGGGCCTAACAAAATAACTTTAACAAAAACCAAAATAAATATGAAATAAGTACGAGTGTATCTCCTCTGGTTTTCTCAACTTTTTAAGCTCTTCTCTTCTAGGTGATGTTGAACAATCTCTTGGCCAAGTTGACGACTGTCGCGTTTTCCAAAATGTTGTTGATGTACTGAAAAAGTGCAAATAAACGAGTGAGCAAGTACCGACTACCTAGATTTACTCTACGCAATAGTTCGTGCTGATGAACTCACTTTCGCTTTAATGCCATACCGGAATATAAATGAAGAATTAAGATTGTGAATTAGGGAGTAATTATGTCGCTGCAAAAGGTAGCTAATCTTAGCGGAAGGTCTACTTTTCGGGGAACTAAAGTTTGATAATGCAAAAAACAGCGTCAAATTGTTCACGTTCCTAAATCCAATTAAAATTGTTTTGAAATGTTTGAACTAGTTCACCAGTGACATGTAGTGAAGAAACTAACGTAATACAATATGAAACCGTTAGAAATCTATTACGAATGTCTTTTTTGTAGCCTTGGACAGATAAATTTGTTCCGCAACTCTATAGATACTAATAGTACACAAGTACC